GTAAGCAGCAGAAGATAAACTTGCTTCTAACTCACTGTACATCAGGAGAATCATTACCTCAGCCCTTAGCAGTGATACCTCGTGAAGTTGACTGAAGACTGTACTACTACAATGACAATATACGGCCATATAAACGCGAATACCCCAACGATTGCTAACGTTCACTAGCTGACAATCCACGCTAATATTCCGTCTTCACCACGGAACAAGACGCATCGTGCAGACACAGCTTAACTGAACAAGCACCGTAACTTTCTGCTCACCTCCCTAATTCAATGGTCTAGTTTTTGTTCCCTTAATTTCACAGAAGCCGATGGTCACTTTTAGCCGTTGTCTACTTTCCTGCTTCAGCTGCCTCATCGTTCGTTTGAAGCTGACCAGCTAGCTCGTAGAAATGAACGTTCTTCCGTGAAACTGATCCTCAAAGGACTTGTTACCTTAGCCTTCTTCAGTAGTATGTAACAGTTTGCTGATGTATGTACTTTAGTAGTTGAATGAAGATCGCACGGCGTTAAAGCGCACTTAGGACGATATAGATACAAGCAGTACAAAATCTTGAAGAAATGAAAAATAACTGAAACCTGCATGACATCTCTTTCCATTTATGGGTAAGTGCGAGGGGGGCATATTTAGGAAACTGTATACTTGCCGTCACTCAACGATATCAAAACTGTCATGACAGTATTTTTGAGGGTTTTGCTAGCGCTGTAAATCTTCAATAACTATTCCGTGTATGCCTCGATTCCTGACTCGAATAAAAACAAAGTATAAAAATTAATACAGTGACAGTGAACGAAAAGGGCAACGCACTTGTCGAAATATTGATATTTTGACAGTTCGGAGTGCAACCACAATGCAAACGAGGAATAAATTTGTTTTCATCATGTCCATCGGTACAGAACCTGAGCAAAACTGCGTGATCGAAAACCAGCTGCCAAAGAAGTCGATAATCTATGTAATTCTACATACATTCGGCCGGCCACCTGTAATTGCTGGTCTTTTTTACTTAGACACAGTGGACCGCAATGGAAGTGTGAAAGAGGAGGAAGGACGCTGACTCTATCTATGGTTCTTGAGGAAATGACAAAAATCAATACTCACCAAACGGAGGAAGCAACAGGCATGTTGACCGTCAGTCAGGCAGCAGCGCCAGATGGAGTTCAGCACTATACATTAACCACTGTCGTCGTCTACGTCGTCGCGGATGTTGCCTTATTTGCAGCTGTAACGAACGGATCAATAACAGCCGCCATAAACGACGTCAGCGATGACAACTGTCTCGTTTGTTGACAATATCGTAAGCGAAACAATGAGACATCGCATTTGAAACGGAAGATCACTCATTCACCAGTTAATCAATCTTTGCTCAAAGTTAACAGCAGTAAAAATCTGTAAGAAAATTGCCACGCATCATTTGTCCTTGAAGTGTAAGGGGGCAACTGAGGTAAGGGCGGTTGAGGGTGTACTCTTGGGCCGCTATGACAGCCGTGAAGAAGTCTAGTGGCTGTGAGAAGGCTAGGTTATGAGCATGCAGCCCTTCGGAGCTTATTATAACCGTAAAGCACATGAGAACAAGGGTTCTGACTTCATAAACAAGGAAACAGTTGACTCTGAACCCAGACCAGTTTCTTTTCAATAGTTCAGAGATGACCGTACGTTTTTGTCACTCTTGAAGTATCGCTGAAAGTCTTAAATTTTTAGGTTGGCAAATTTGGTTTCGCATTCAGCTGTATGGTTGAAAAATTTGCTTCCCAACACGAATGAACGTGTCAAGGACAAAGGTAACGGCTGAACATCGTCTTGATACCTACTTGTCACCCTCCTATCACTTTCAGGCAATGCATTTATTACCTATAAAGGCAAACACTAAAATACGAATTCGAAAATGTGTTTAACTGGGCAGATTCTTTTCAGGCGGAAATAATTCATCATTACCAATACATCCCAATATGATCAACAACCATTCTCCAAAAAAAAGCATGGTATAAAGTTGTCGCTTCAACGTTTGGTCTTCTTTGCAGCAGCTGTTCATTAGAAGGATAGAAATTTACGCCATAATCGTACTAATTATCAGTCAGCTTCATCCGCCTGTTCTTCTTCTCTTCTATGTACATTAAATTTCTATTCTGTCTTCTGCTACCAGCCATATGATGCTTCTTTCTGGTCTAAATGCGCTCTGCACTAGTTGCATGTACAAATGCCATATTATAAATCCTGCTTTCAACTCAAAGACCACATCGAGACAGACCGTCAGAGAAAAAAATAAGAAGTGATAGATTATAGCTATTGCGGCATTGGTCTTGCTTATATTTATATTACGGGCCCTATTTTGGCAACTGTATTTTACTGAAACTATTGTTGAGTACTGATCATTGTATCACCCGCATGCGGCAGATGTGGACACCTTAGTTATGAAGGCAACATGTAAATTCATAAAGCGAATATTATGCATTCAGAAAGTACGAAGGCATGCCAACGAGTACAAAGCTTCATAATGACACACTGTCCGATAAACCTTAATTCACCTGATAACTGGCATACTCCACATCATGAAAATAATTATTTAAAAGTAAAAGTAAGATACCTATAAAGTAGTTGCCAATATCCATAAAAAAGCACAGCGTATATAAACGTATGCTTTATTCTTATGCACATCGCATTTCTACTTCGACACGATGCATGCGAATGGGGCCAGCTTGGATTCCAACCCAGAAACTTCCGCATAGTCCGTGCTCTATCGATCGAACTACTCCATGACGAAAGATTTTATACCATCTTTCGAATTCCATGACCTATGTAACAAAAGAGCACAATGAAATGAGGTAGTAATATAATTTAAAAGAAAATTTATAGAACAGTGTGAGATTCAGCTTGGTTCGAATCCCGGTAATCATTTGTACTTCATCCATAAGAAGTAGACAAAAATACATGTATCAAAAAAATGGTAAACCTACGCTCTGCCTGATACACATATTGCAGTCATAGAGTACTCATTCCTGACTGGAAAAGTAACTCTACATGACCGACCATACATAACACCCAGTCCAAGTACTGATAGAGCGCTTTTCTCTCAGCGAATGTTCCATGGATACTAGACACCAACCACCACGGAAATATAACGCAGACTGACACACCTGTGACAGCCATTTCCTTTCTTTCAGCTGCTTTAGATATGCTGGAATTCATACGCTCAGATTTAGTTTCATCATCCCTGTAGAATTCCTCCAATTAAAGAAAGATTTAGTTCTTTACTGTCTAAAGCCTCACCATTCTTCACCGTCGTTCTTCATGATAAGATATAAATAAAAAATTAATAAAATAACCGCCAAGACACCCTAAGTGAAGGCGCAATTTCCTGGACGCCCACTATATTTTAATCTACCGACCGGATGTAGTTATCCAAAAAATTCAAATGTACCATTCGAGAAATGCATTCGTTATTTTCTACAGTTATGAGTGATTCCACTACTACAATTGTTACTGCAATTACCGATCTTCCGTGAGATAATGTACAGTCTGCTGTGTGGAATATAAACCAACGGAAGAGATGATTGCGCCAGAACAACAGAAATCTCCAAACGGGCGAAACCTCACAGAATATTCACCTCGAACTGCATTCGCCCTAGGTAAAGGGCAAACGGACACTTCGTCCGACAAGCCTGTACAATAGCCAAAATCACCTGCTCAGATCGGATGGATAGCACATACAAACATAGACCATATTTCCTGCACTGCTAGCAGCTCCAGTCAGAGCAAACCCTACGACTGAAGGCAACACCACAGTCTTCAACAGTAACGGATTGAAACCAAAGGGGCCGCAACTGTCCAACTTTGAGAAGTCTCCGATCAGATGGGACGATGATTTAAAAATGACACGGAAATTTGTGGCGACAAATGGACGAACGTGTATACCATAATCAAGAAATCGTGATTTCCGCTCTCTACAAAAAATATCACTAAATTGTTCTTAACGTTTTGCTGCTATCCCATGATTCAGTCTTACCATGGAAAACTGCACTCCTTTGGCGATTCAAGCTATGAAACGAAGTATAACATATACTCAAAACAATTAATTATTCTGCGTTGGGCAAATAAGCGGAATGCAATATTTCTGCTAGCTCATCAGCTGCATATTCCAACAAACAATACCAAACTGAAAAGGAGATTTTGAAAGTAAATAAAAACTTTTTTACAAGAGTATCACAAACAGATGACTATTAGAGACGAACTTTGCTTCTTTACAAACAGAAAAATGAAAGAAACAAATATCACTCGCTTATATATCAAAGGGAACCAGCATTTACTTACATAAACGTTTAAAAATCACACTAAAACATTACAACTGGCAAAAGCAGAGATGAGCCACTTTGTACAAAACAGAGCAAATATAACAACATACATGGCGGCGCTGAACGGCGAAAAACTTTACAATACTTTTTTTGAAAACGGGGACATAAAAGCCGACCCCGCAAAAAAAGCAGAAAGACAAAGAAAAAATAACAACAAAATTCATACATACTTATACAAAAACACTATATCTACAGCGCATAGTAAATGTTGTTCAGCGGCTCAGCAAACGCCGCCGCAATGAAATGAAATTCAAAGCAAGACATTCTGTGAACAAGAAAGTCACGGTCGAGTGTAATTTTCCTCGAGGTACTGAAACGAGAGTCTGCTGCCGCGACTTCCACTACCATGGAACGAAAACTGAGTGAAAATCGGCTGCTCGTCCAACTCTGAGATGCACTGCAATGTGCTAGACTGTCCTCCGCCAGGAGGCGTCAGTTCGACCGACTCCTTAGTGAATTCCTAAAATTTTTTAATACTACCATCAAAACACAACGACAGAAAAGGTTTAAAGTTTAAACTAAAATTTTATGCGTTAAACATTACACAAAGCTGTCGTGTAAGCAGCTTGAAATGAACAATGGAAGCAGCAGAGCCACACTTCTACATGGAACAGCGGCGGCCAAAGTATATGATTGCATAGAGAGGGCAAAATGAAGAAATACATCCTTAGCAGCCACCAGATCAGCCATGAAGACCTACCGTGGACCGTAAAAAGATCAACTGACGACACTGCGGTGACAGAGGAAAGTCTCATTTCGGCAACTGTTTAAGTCCGGCAAAAGGAAGAATTTTCTTACTAGAAGGTAAGAAGGAAAGGACCGGAAACTATCGTCACTTCTACACTGTGACAGATTATAAAATCATCCACCATGTGGCTAGGAATGAAAAAAAAAGACATTAGAATGGATTTGAATCGAACTGAAACAGTATAATCATAAGTTGAACCAAGACTCGCATATCCTTCTGTTTTCAGATGTCATCGAGAACATTTGGCTACAAAACCTAAAGTATTCGGTTAGACTGTTTGGGGCTCATATATTGTAATGTTTACACCTTGTGATTTTGAGTAAATAATGAAGAAGGCCAAAAGGAACTGCAGTCGTAACACGAACGTATCAGAAAACATAGTCGCGTATGCCGCACGTTCTGGCACGACCAAAGCACCAAACGATTTCAGGCATTCGCTCGTCAATGAATTCTCGATTGGTTGGATTCAAACATAATGGAGTGTCCTCCTTGCTCAAGGAAATCATCGGTAAATAAAACACAATTTATTCAGTGACAGGGGAACCCGGCATTTCTAAAAAGCAAACAAACAACTAACCGGCTATGCAATGCGCCCTAAATTAGCAGAAACGCTTTTATTTTTATTAGAGTTAACACCTAAAACTACCGCTCTAATCTCTGTTCCACTCTAACCTGCAGAATTAAACAGCTGTAACATCCAACCTCTATAGAAAAAAAAACAATTCAACATGCCATACTTGATCGAAATAACTGGTGTCGGTTTCTGACGTCACTTCTGGTTTGAATGGAGGCTCGATCTACAAGTTGACATCAGCAAAGAAAGTCACCCCCGAAACAACATGCTTGATAACTCACGTTTTTCTCATATAACTGGTGCCAGTCGATGCTGGCAAAGAAAGGATGAGCCATGATTTCTCTCGCATCATCTGGCCCTCCACCCAATCTACAAATATTAATTAGAAGATATTATACGAGTATATACGTAGTATAAGCGTAGC